ATTTTCCCTTTCTCTCTCTCTCTTTCTTTCTTTCTTTCTTTCTTTCTTTCTTTCTTTTGTTTCAATAGACACATTACTATTTCATACTTTCCTCAATTTGTCAATTTCTGTTCTTTCTTTCTTTCTTTTTTCAATTTTACTATTTCATTTTCCTCAATTTTCCCTTTTCTCTCTCTCTTTTTTCTTTCTTTCTTTCTTTTGTTTCAATAGACACATTACTATTTCATACTTTCCTCAATTTGTCCGTTTCTCTTTCTTTCTTTCTTTCTTTCTTTCTTTCTTTCTTTCGTTTCAATAGACACATTACTATTTCATACTTTCCTCAATTTGTCCGTTTCTCTTTCTTTCTTTCTTTCTTTTTTCTTTCTTTCTTTCGTTTCAATAGACACATTACTATTTCATTGTTCCTCAATTTGACCGTTTCTCTTTCTTTCTTTCTTTCTTTTCTTTCTTTCTTTTTTCGTTTCAATAGACACATTTCTTTTCATGCTTTCCTCAATTTGTCCGTTTCTTTTCTTTCTTTCTTTCTTTCTTTTTTCGTTTCAATAGACACATTACTATTTCATGCTTTCCTCAATTTGTCCGTTTCTCTTTCTTTCTTTCTTTCTTTCTTTCTTTCTTTCTTTCTTTTGTTTCAATAGACACATTACTATTTCATGCTTTCCTCAATTTGTCCGTTTCTCTTTCTTTCTTTCTTTCTTTCTTTCTTTCTTTCTTTCTTTCTTTCTTTCTTTCGTTTCAATAGACACATTACTATTTCATGCTTTCCTCAATTTTCCCCTTTCTCTCTCTCTCTTTCTTTCTTTCTTTATTTCTTTCTTTCTTTCTTTATTTCTTTCTTTCTTTCTTTCTTTCTTTCTTTCTTTCTTTCTTTCTTTCTTTCGTTTCAATAGACACATTACTATTTCATGCTTTCCTCAATTTGTCCGTTTCTCTTTCTTTCTTTCTTTCTTTCTTTCTTTCGTTTCAATAGACACATTACTATTTCATGCTTTCCTCAATTTGTCCGTTTCTCTTTTTTTTCTTTCTTTCTTTCTTTCTTTCTTTCTTTCTTTTGTTTCAATAGACACATTACTATTTCATGCTTTCCTCAATTTTCCTATCTTCTTTCTCTTTCTTTCTTTCTTTTGTTTCTTTACACATTACTTTTCACGCTTTTTCTTTCTCTTCTCTCTTTTTTCTTTCAATAGACACATTACTATTTCATACTTTCCTCAATTTGTCCGTTTCTCTCTCTTTCTTTCTTTCTTTCTTTCTTTCTTTCTTTCTTTCTTTCTTTCTTTCTTTCACAAACGTCCTCTGTTTTCTATTTGTCTGTTTTCGTGCATTTTCATCCTAAAATATTTTCTTTTTTGTTAGTCTCTTTATTTTTCTTGATATATTTATATCGTAATTTTTTTCACATTCATTTATCTTCCTAACTGCTTTAAACTCAATCTGTACATAATTCACTTACCTTTCATTCCCTGTCTCCATCATACGGCCATATCCCGTTGAGACAACGGTTCTTGTACGATCACCGAAGTTAAGCAACGTCGAACCTGGTCACTGCCTACATGGTTGACCGCTTGGAAATACTAAATATCCTAAGATAGGATGTGTGGATTGTACAATGGATGACGGATCGAAATAGGAAGTCGGGGAGCCGAGTTCTAATTACAGTCGGCTTAGTTATATTTACTTACGCGCAAATATCCTAGGATAATATACGAATCCACCTCGTCTCCCTCTCAGCTATGGGGTAAATAGTAGGACTTATCTCCAAAATTTTCTTACAATCTAAAAATGCTTTTTGGTTTCAAATATCCCGCAGAAGTTTGATACACCGTAAAAATGAAATCAGTTTATCTTTCACTGTCTTTCTGTCTTTATCTTTCGTCCCCACTCTTTCTTTCTCTCTCTCTCTCTCTATATATATATATATATATATATATATATATATATATATATATATAAGTACAGTGTAACCCGGATATAAGAGAAACCCGAATATAAGAGAGATTTTCTCTGGTCCCAAATTAGAGCCATACTTACCTAAACAAAATAGACCAAACCCGGATATAAGAGAAACCCGGGTATAAGAGACTTCTTCTCCGGTCCCGACAACTCTCTTATATCCGGGTTACACTGTAATAGGTTTGTCACTTAGTTGATTAATGTTACCTTCAGCATCCTGACTTCAGAGTTTCATAGGCTGACCCTCCGGATATTACACCGTCCACTCCTCAGTGGATATCAGCAAATGTTTTCTCATTTTGACCACCCCGCTCATTAAATACACTGACTCAAAAGGGTATTCACTCCTCATCTCTCTTCTCTACCTCTCCATCTCTTGTCTCTATTCCACTCTTTCTCTTCTTTCCCGTATTTTTGTCTTATTGTCCTATTCGTAGATCCCTCTCTTTATCCCTGCTTTTTCTTTTTTATCGGTATCACCCTATGCAAGGCAGTAAAGCCACTAAGACACTTGGCGTGGAAGAATTAGGAACAGAAATATTAATAATTTGCTGGAAGAATAGTAATCAGGAGAACAGTAGATAGCGATTGACATTACATTTAAATCTTTTTAGATTAAAGTTGACTGGAAAGGATGGAACCGGAAGGGAGTTCCAAAAGCGAGAAGTGCAAGAAATAAACATAGAACTTACATCTAGCCATCTCAACCGTAAATTGTTGAGATATCGACGCCAGTCTAATATTGTGCTTAAATTCAAAAACGTTTAGGTCTAATAGCGAAGAGCTCATCCGAACAAATACCATGAAAGTATTTATAGAAAAAGACACAGAGAAGCAACCTGACGGCACTGGTAAAATGACTGAAGCCGAGCTAACAGATCAGGACTAATAAATTTATTGAGTCTTCTTTGGATTTTATCAAGTTAAATAGCAGGAGCACCGGACCATATATGGCAGCAATATTCTAAGCATTTTTCTGACTCCATCTTCCCCTCTCTCTCTCTCTCTCCCTTATATATAGACTATCTTTTCAGACAACCCTATCATTTTTTTTTCCTCGTTCGCATGTCAATGTTCCCCGACCTTTAGGCAAAGAGACTTGTTAAACCCTCTGCCATCATTACGACTAGTCCAATGTATTTAATTCCTCCTATCAAATCTCGGCACGAAACGATCGCATCACGCGCGCAAAACTCCACCATTTCATTTCCGGTGGTCGTTACATCCGGTATCTTTTTTTTTTTTTTTTTTTTGTTATCCAATCGGGGGCGGGCAACCTAATGCTTCGCTTTAATTAGCAAATTATTTGCTTCATTTGCACAAATAGGGATTTTGGTTGAGAAGGAAAGCAAAAAAAAAAAGGTCGTAGGGAAGAAAAAGAAAAGAAATGGTGGAAAGAGAGAGAAAGAGAGAGAGAGAGAGGAAGAGAGAGAGAGGGGAAGAGAGAGAGAGAGAGAGAGGAAGAGAGAGAGAACGATACAAAGCCGCAAAATTAGTCGATCATCACGCTGTCCAAACGGCCATGAGGCGTTTAAAAGAAATTGTAAGTACGATGCCATTATCAACGTTTTCAATTGTTGTTATCTTTTTCTTTTTATAAAAGCATTGGAAACGTGAAAAGCAGACAATATCGGTTTCTTGGTTCGCTTTTCTGTCCGTTGGAGTCGCTCTTTGGTTTTTATTTGATTTAGTGCTAATAACATTTCACTTTCCCATGAAAACATTCACTGGCTCTCTTGTTGTCATCCTAAATAGTTTTTTTTTCTTTGTTTCACCCAAAAATGAATATGGCGGGAAAAAAGGAAAGACGAAGCGTTTTTAAGAGGAGAAAAATGAATAAACAGAGAGAAGGCAGGTAGGTTAAAAGTAAAACAGAACTCAATGGACATAGATAGATAGATAGATAGATAGATAGATAGATAGATAGATAGATAGATAGATAAAGAAGAGACTGTGATAGATAGATAGATAGATAGATAGATAGATAGATAGATAGATAGATAGATAGATAGGTGCGACTCGATTAATGTCATCGACTAATTTATTCTCAGATATGATGGGTATATAGATACATACATATATACATACGTAAGAATAGACTGAGATAGATAAATAGATATGAACTTACTTAGATTCATCGACCTGTCTATTTATCTATCTCAATCTGATAGATAGATAGATAGATAGATAGATAGATAGATAGATACGCACAGACTGAAACAGATAGATAAATATAGATATATATTTATCTACCTATATATATATTTTATATATATTTGAACGTATATATATATATATATATATATATATATTAATTAAGTTATTAAGAACTTGGTAAACCAAATGGGTAATTCAAAGGAGGATGGAATCCTGAGAGCTCAATGTGAATACAGAGCTAATATTTAATGAAAAACAGACCACTTTAAGGTACCATTACAATAATTGTTACCTGATGATCTGGAGTCCTTTAAAAAGGATTTTGGTGAAATAAATTATTGTAATGCTACCTTAAAGTGGTCTGTTTTTCATTATATATATATATATATATATATATATATATATATATATATATATTATCATCCACAGAGGGTTTCGCTATATCACAGCTCATAAATGTGGCTATATATCCGATTGCCTCAAGCCAGGATCGAAATCTGACTGATTTAGTTTGTTCATATCTATCTATATAGCTATCTCAGTCTGACAGATAGATAGATAGATAGATAGATAGATAGATAGATAGATAATGTGCAGACTGTGTACGATACGCAGATAAATAACGAGAAAGGCATTATATATTTTTATTTCTATGTCTCCTGTCTTTCTTAATGGTTTTATCTGTTTTCCTATCGAATCTCAACTGCTTGTCTTGCATTTAGCCTTCTCTCCAACTCAGTTTTTTTTCTTCTTTCCGAACATTCTCTTTTCAGCCGCCATTTTTCTCTCGTGTTGTTCGCTAAAAAAATACTTAATCGTGGCGTGATTCGCACCATTTTTTCTGATTTAACTCCTGCAAACCTCTTACCCCCTTCAGCATCTGACCAATGAGTCTGACAAACGGTTTGATTGCTTTCCGCCGCTTCAAAGTTGGGTATATTTCATTCGTTCTTATTTGACGCAAACCTTATTTTCACTTCGTTTTTTTTTGTCCATTTATTGCCACCTTTAGTTTCTCTCTTTTCGCTTTTACATACGATCATCTGCTTTTCATTCTTCTTTTTTTTATCCTATACTTGTTATAGTAGTTTTGTATTCTTTTCATCAGCTTCTGTTTAGTACTCGGTTTCCTTCAAAAGTTTATACAAGTCTATACGTTTAACGTCTTCGCCTCATCTCCGAAATTTCATTTACTATTTATTTATTTTGCAGCATTAGGATAGGTTCACACTTCTTCCCGCTCTTTAGAACAGGAGGAGATATTTATCTCTTGTTTCCAGTTTAGGTTTGGGTTTCCGGTTCCTTCTAAACTTTTCTGATTCTCTCTTTCAATTCCAGTACCAGTGGGTCTTAATGGCAAAATCGCCTTGTTTTGAATGGTTTCATTAAAAACTAAAATTACACAAAAGTAATTAAGACAGAAGAAGACCGTCCTTTTTTTCCATTCCCCATTTTGGCCTTGTGTCACATTTTGTAATTATGTTTTTCTCTATGGTAGCTAGATTTCATGAATTTAAACACAATACTAGACTAGCGACGAGATTCATCAATTTACAGTTTAGCTGCCTAGACGTAGCCGTAACTTCTATGTTGACAGCTTCTTTTCTCGCACTTCTCGTTTGTGTAACTCTCTTTCGGCTCCATGCTTTCCAGCTAACTTCAATCTGCAAAAAAATAAATGCAATGTCAATTGTTATCTACTGTCCTCCTGATTGCTTTTTTTCTCTTTTTTACTCATGACTAATGTTTCTGATCCTAATTCCGCCAAATACTGTAACCCTTTGCACGCTACTGGCTGTACTGACTTGTTTGGAGGTGGGGATAAAGATTTAATTAAAAAAAAAAACTCTTTTCTTCTTAATTTCATTGAAGCTTTTCTTTCATCTGTTTCATAACTCTTACTTTCTTTTTTCTTCCTATCTTTCTTCTTTCTTTCTTCTGTCTTTTGTCTTTCTTTCTTCTTTCTTTCTTCTTTGTTTCATCTTTCTTTCTTCTTTCTTTTGTCTTTCTTTCTTCTTTTTTTCTTCTTTGTTTCATCTTTCTTCTTTATATTGTCTTTCTTTCTTCCTTCTTTCTTCTTAGTCACCCTTTTGTTCAGATTCACTTCTTTCATGATTACATTCTTCCTTTCATTTTTTTCTTTCTTTCCTTTTTTTCCTTTTTTCTTTCTTGCATGTTTTTATTTTTTCTCCCTTTTACTTCATCTATTTTCTATTTCATTTTACTGTCTTCAATTACTCCATATTCTTTCTTTCTTTCATTCTTTCTTTCTTTTTGTATATTTAGAGTATTGTATATTCTTTAATTCTTTAAAAATGTCATTCAATCCATCTGTTTTCTTTTCCTCTATTCTTTTCTTTTCACTTCATTCAGTACTTTCTTCTGTTCGTTTTTCTATATTCTTTTTTCTTCACTTTCCTTCTTTTTCTGACTTCTATTTTCTTTTTTTCAAACTTTTCATCCTTTAAATTCATTCTTCCTCTTCTTCTTCTACCCGCTCCCTTCCTTTCACGCCATTCATTCTCCTTCTTTTATTCCATTTCTTTTCCTCGTCAGCCATTCCTGACCTCTTTTTTTCTATTCTGTCATCCAATTATTTTCCCTCGTAATTTTCATTCAATCATTTTTTTTCTTTCCTCTTTTGTTGCTTGCTTTTTTATTCCTTTTTTTTCATTTGTCCATTTAATTCTCTTTGCTTTTCCCGCAATTCTTCTTTTCTATCGTGCAGTTACATGTTTCTCTTGGTGTCTCTAAATCTCTTTAATTTTCCCGCCTTTTCCACACTATTTTCTTCATAGGTTTTTTCCTTCGTTTTTGTTTTTTTCTTTTTTATTTATCCTTATTAATACATTTGTTTTTTTTCTTTCATGATTTTTTTTCCAGTCATGATGAATGGTTACGCTCTCAAAGAGGCTCCTTATTTGTAACGGCTATTGGGACACATCTTCAACTCAGAACTCAAGTAGATCTCATGTATACAGTCCATCACAAAAGGCGCTGAAAAATGGTCGGCTCCAGCAAATACCTGATTCTTTCTACCAGGCTTTTCCTTTACAAGAAGGCAGACCAAAAATGATGCATTACTTCTATGTCTGAACTGGACTTGCTCAGTCCTTACTTTTCAGGCTTGATAGAGTTCAAAATCATTTCCCACAGACGTAAAATCGCATGCCGATGTATACTTCCATGGAAAATGCTCAAACGAGTTCCATTCTGGAGTGCCAACAGCTCAGATCATTACAGCTAAGACCTACCTTGCTACATCCTCAGCGTCGAAACCCTTAATTTCCTAGATACATAAACTTTATGAATTTAAGCCCATTTTAAAGTTGAATTGGCTAAATGTAACCGTAATGTCTTTGGTATCTGTTTCTTTTCTCGTACTTCTCGCTTTTGAAACTCTCTTCCGGATTCCCCCCCCTACCAATCAGCTTTGATCTTCAAAAAATTAAATGCAATGTCAATCGTTATCTAATGTCTTCTTGATTCTTCTTCTTCTTCGGTTTCAATTTTTACTATAGATAGCTCAACTTTTACAACAACATGCCTGTCCACATTCGTAATCTAGGAAAATTCTTGTGGGAAATACATCTATATTTTTCTTAAAAATAATAAAAATAAACTAAAAATTATTGAAGCTGTCTATATTAAAAACTTGAAACTAAACTAAAAGGTTTTAACTATTAGTTTTAATAGATTTTTCTTTTTAAAAACTATTCAGACATTATAATAACTTAGTTACCTCCCTTGACGTTTGCACGTATGCCTACATAATAAAATTTAAAATTGTACAGTAGATAATCGTAGCGTTTTTCAATTCACACGTAAAAAATTAAATTTCCAGATGAGCACAACAATTTTTGTCTTAGAAAAGACAAGACCCTGAAGACATTCGACTAATGTCAAAAGTACTCGGAATAAAGAGAAAATGCTTCAACATGGTAATTTTCTTTCTTCCTTTAATAAGGATACTAAGAAACTTGTTCGTAATTATGAGAGGATCCTATAAAAAATATGTAGACAAAACTTGCAAAATTATTTAATGAGATATGTCTTAATATATATATGTATAATATATATATATATATATATATATATATATATATTGAGACATGTCAATATATATATATATATATATATATATATATATATATATATATATATATATATATATATCAAATATGTGGTGCAGTTCAATTTATATTACAATAAATCATTCATACAAATAGTAGATTAGTAAAGTTAATATTATGAAATGGCTAAATCCCTTCGCTAACAAAATTTTAAAGACTCATTGCCAATGACTCGATGAATGTTATGATCCTTGTTTTTTAAAATTCGAAACAGTATTAGGTCTTCCTTAAATACACAAGTACTTTCGACTGTACGTTCAGTCATCTTCAGGCATGGAAATTATTTTGTTTTTGGTAAAATTCAGGTAGCATCCGCGACGAAAAAATATAATGCGAATCGAAATATGTTTTTTTTTTTTTTAATGTGTTATTGATAATGGACACACACTTTTGAAGCGTGCAGTCGCAACGTTAAGATTGAATCTTTTTGAAAATTTAAGTGAGTGCGTTTTTTACTAATATGGCAATTTGAGAATTTGATAGATAGATTTAAAGTGACTATGACAGATACAAATTGCCTTTGATATATATATATATATATATATATATATATATATATATATATATATATGTATATGTATATGTATAAAAGTGAGAGAGAGGTCAAGTATACATAAAAAGAGAGGCAGATAAATAGAAATAAATTGTGTGTAATAGACAGAAACTGGCGATGTTAAATAGATAGATAGATAGATAGATAGATAGATAGATAGATATACTACGTTAATAGATATTTACAATCTAAAATATATCGATGCACAGGGAGTGCACTTAAACATAAGTTAAATACTAATCGTCCCATTAGTGCATAAAAACCTTTCTTAAAAGAGGTATTACTTTGTGTCGTGTCCCTCATCTCTCATTTTATAGTCAGACACGAATCCATCAAATGTCCATTATTTTACAGTCAAATCTATCCTTTTCACCTCGACGGTTCACCCCCTTCATTCTTACGCACTTTTGTCAATCAACAAAGAAACATATATAACATAAAATAATACGTTAATACACGTTTACAGGTGTATATATATATATATATATATATATATATATATATATATATATATATATATATATTTACAGGTGTATGTTTAGATAGATAGATAGATAGATAGATAGATAGATAGATAGATAGATAGATAGATAGATAGATAGATGATATTAGTAGTAAATATACACATACATATATATTTGTATAAAAAAAATTATTCCAAGAAGATAGAATCCAGGTAGAACTCAATGTCCAGGACAGCGTAAGGATATAATAAAAAAGCTTAAACACTAATATCCCATGGTCATAATTCATTGGAATCGTAAATACGATCCAATTCATCAGACCTACAAATTCAATTTTTTTGAATTTGTAGGTCTGATGAATTGAGCAAAATACGATTCCAATGTAATAAATTAAGACAATGGAATATTAGAGTTTAAGTTTTATATATATATATATATATATATATATATATATATATATATATATATATATATATATATATATATATACCTGTGAACGTATATGTATGTATGTATATAATGGTTTTATTTTGTCACGTATCCAGAGCATTTTGAATCATAGGAATTAAGAGAGATTGTGCGTACTTTTTATCTACATATAAAGCAAAAGATGTTATTTGAATATATGTAAATTCATACTATAAAATTCTTTCCTTCCATCTGTGGCTCTTCACTACTTCCCCTCACTTGGAACTCTCGCCAACACTCGACTCTTTATAATGTACGAGACTACCCGTAACAGTTAGGTTTATAAAACACTGAAGTTGATTTCAACATTAAAAATATGTCTGTTTGAAGAAAGTTGAAATAAAAATACTTACTTACTATATAAACAACTCGTATTTTCAAATCATATTCACTTAAAATATTTTAAAATCAGACTAACTTAGAAATATTTTTAATATGCTAAAAAATATTTTCAAATGATATTCACTTGAAAATATTTTTTTAAATATGGCAAAAAGTATTTTTTTAAATATTTAAAATATTGTTTGTTTAAAGAAGGCTGAAATATAAATAAGCACGCACGCAATCACAGAGATGTGGAATGACAGAGAGGTTGAAAGGGAGAGGTGGAAAGACATAGATGTGGAAAGAGAGAGGTGGAAAGACATAGATGTGGAAAGAGAGAGGTGGAAAGAGAGAGGTGGAAAGACATAGATGAGGAAAGGGAGAGGTGAAAAGACATAGATGTGGAAAGAGAGAGGTGGAAAGAGAGAGGTGGAAAGACATTGATGTGGAAAGAGAGAGGTGAAAAGAGAGAGGTGGAAAGACATTGATGTGGAAAGAGAGAGGTGGAAAGAGAGAGGTGGAAAGACATAGATTTGGAAAGAGAGAGGTTGAAAGACATGGATGTGGAAAGAGAGAGGTGGAAAGACATAGACGGGGAAAGAAAGAGGTGGAATGACAGAGATGGGAAAAGAGAGAGGTGGAAAGAGAGAGGTGGAAAGACATAGATGTGGAAAGAGAGAGGTGGAAAGAGAGAGGTGGAAAGACATAGATGTGGAAAGAGAGAGGTGGAAAGAGAGAGGTGGAAAGACATAGATGTGGAAAGAGAGAGGTGGAAAGACATAGATGTGGAAAGACATAGATGTGGAAAGACATAGATGTGGAAAGAGAGAGGTGGAAAGACATAGACGGGGAAAGAGAAAGATGGAAAGACATAGATGTGGAAAGAGAGAGGTGGAAAGAGAGAGGTGGAAAGAGAGAGGTGGAAAGACATAGATGTGGAAAGAGAGAGGTGGAGAGAGAGGTGGAAAGACATAGATGTGGGAAAGAGAGAGGTGGAAAGACATAGATGGGAAAGACATAGATGTGGAAAGACATAGATGTGGAAAGACATAGATGTGGAAAGAGAGAGGTGGAATGACATAGACGGGGAAAGAGAAAGATGGAAAGACATAGATGTGGAAAGAGAGAGGTGGAAAGAGAGAGGTGGAAAGAGAGAGGTGGAAAGACATAGATGTGGAAAGAGAGAGGTGGAAAGAGAGAGGTGGAAAGACATAGATGTGGAAAGAGAGAGGTGGAAAGACATAGATGTGGAAAGACATAGATGTGGAAAGACAGAGATGTGGAAAGAGAGAGGTGGAAAGACATAGACGGGGAAAGAGAAAGATGGAAAGACATAGATGTGGAAAGAGAGAGAGGTGGAAAGAGAGAGGTGGAAGAGAGAGGTGGAAAGACATAGATGTGGAAAAGAGAGAGGTGGAAAGAGAGAGGTGGAAAGACATAGATGTGGAAAGAGAGAGGGGAAAGACATAGAGGGAAAGAGAAAGATGGAAAGACATAGATGGGAAAGAGAGAGGTGGAAAGAGAGAGGTGGAAAGAGAGAGGTGGAAAGACATAGATGTGGAAAAAGAGAGGTGGAAAGACATAGATGTGGAAAGACATAGATGTGGAAAGACAGAGATGTGGAAAGAGAGAGGTGGAAAGACATAGACGGGGAAAAGAGAAAGATGGAAAGACATAGATGTGGAAAGAGAGAGGTGGAAAGAGAGAGGTGGAAAGAGAGGGTGGAAAGACATAGATGTGGAAAGAGAGAGGTGGAAAGAGAGAGGTGGAAAGACATAGATGTGGAAAGAGAGAGGTGGAAAGACATAGATGTGGAAAGACATAGATGTGGAAAGACAGAGATGTGGAAAGAGAGAGGTGGAAAGACATAGACGGGGAAAGAGAAAGATGGAAAGACATAGATGTGGAAAGAGAGGGGTGGAAAGAGAGAGGTGGAAAGAGAGAGGGGAAAGACAGATGTGGAAAGACATAGATGGGAAAGACAGAGATGTGAAAAGAGAGGTGGAAAGACATAGACGGGGAAAGAGAAAGATGGAAAGACATAGATGTGGAAAGAGAGAGGTGGAAAGAGAGAGGTGGAAAGACATAGACGGGGAAAGAGGGAGGTGGAAAAACATAAATGTGGAAAGAGAGAGGTGGAAAGACATAGACGGGGAAAGAGAGAGGTGGAAAAACATAAATGTGGAAAGAGAAAGGTGGAAAGACATAGATGGGGAAAGAGAGAGGTGGAAAAACATAGATGTGGAAAAAGAGAGAGAGGTGGAAAGAGAAAGGTGGAAAGAGATCGGTGGAAAGAGAGATAGAGATCGAAAGAGTAAGGTGAAAAGAGAGAGGTGGAAAGAGAAAGGTGGAAAGACACAAAGGTGTAAAAAAAGAGATGAAAAGAGAGATGTGGAAAAACAGACAGGTGGAAAGAGAGAAAGGTGGAAAGAGAGGGATGGAAAGACAGAGAGTTGGAAAGAAACTTAAATCATTATGCGCCCGACGGCCGACGTACACTCGATTCACAGACTTTTAGTATTATATAAATTTTAGCATCAACTTTCTTGTATCTGTGCTGTGTACTTTTAGCGGGAGAACGATCATGGCTCTCCAGAACTTTCCGTCACTTGTAGCTCCAAGAAACTTTGAACACTTTCTAACAATAATTTTGTTTACTTAGCATTATGCACTGTCAACTGTGTGCCCCCGAAACGTGGACGATCTCATAGTTTTTCACGGCTTTCTTTCTTTTTTCCCTGTCGACAATATTTCTTCCTTTATAAAACCATTCTCTCTTTTTTGTATTTGTTCTTCCATCCCTTTACACAAACCTGTTAAGTAGTGTAGTCGCTATTTTTATTCTTTTTTATGTGCCCTACGAGTGTTAATTTCTTCGTACCCTTTTACTATTATAATTACTAAGCATTTCAGCTACCTCTTTCTCGTATTTAAAATAATTTGTTCTTTCAGTACTTGCTCTTTAGAACTTTTTTTTTACGTTATGGTCCACCCTTTACAAGTCCTGGGGACTACTCGAGGTACGGGGTTACGTTAGGATTTCATTTGTGTCTATAGGAGTGAAAGATAACGGTTAACCCGATTCTTGAATTGATTAAGATTGTAGTGATCGGGAAAACATTCTCTTAGAAGTCGGTCCCACGAGTCAGTGATTCAAAGAAAGAAGCTGTTCGAGATGAATTTACTTCTCACCGATGGCAGGACCACGGAATCTAGTTCGCCCGAGCACTTTCCGTGGAAATAGTGGTAGAGCAGCGAGAGGCTTGCCACATACCGACTGTAGAAGAGAGGTTGATGGGTGGAGAATAATTCGTCCCCGAAAAGAGCTCGGAGAAGCTTTTGGACACTATCCATTCTGGGGAGTGAGCTCTGGGCTTCTCCCATCCAAATATGTCAACAGTACTCTATTTTGGGCCGGATCTGGCTCTTTAGGACTTCCCCATTTATCGAATGCTCTATCCGTGGTATTTTCAACAGCTTCGTTGATTCAAGACTTTTCTAAATTTGTGAAGAGCTTGTCCAGTTTCCCTGTCATAGAGGTCAGTAGAAATTAGAGAGCAGTAGAGGACACATTTCTTCGCTTCTGGAGACATTTTTTCGATTCATTCGTACATTACTTACTGAAAAATATTTTTCTTAATTCGTTCGCTCTTTTAAAAATTTTGGTGCTACGCTATATAATTTTGAGAGACAATGTAAAGTTGCTTATATTTCTATATTCATTCCCAAAAATCTAATGTGCTAGTGCAGATAGATAGGTTAGAAAAGACTGGGACAGACAGATAGATAGATAGATAGATAGATAGATAGATAGATAGATAGATATTGGGTTGGTGCATAATTATCAGGCTTTTTTTAAATAATATTTATTATGAAAAAAGGAAACATAACAATTCAACAATAACATTTTTAAATGATTATTCTGGGGCATATGATTATCAACACGCATTTTTATAACATGAAAATAAAATAATATTTTTATTAAAAATAGTTAAGAAAATACAAATTTTTATTAACAAATAACTCGCCTACAAAAACTCCTTATGCAGCAACTCAATAGATAGGAACATACTGAGATAGATAGATAGATAGATAGATAGATAGATAGATAGATAGATAGATAGATAGATGATCAGCAGATTGAGAAAGAGAAGTAAAGAAGCGGGCTGTAGAATAGAAAGATAAAGTGACTTATATAATTCGAATTGACGTTTCAACTCATAATGAATACCAAATGCCGTTATTGACATTATTCGGATTTGCCTCTTCTACTTACAAGGAAATGGTACGTGTTAGATTGATAGGACTTTTTCTTTGACAGATTAAATACCTATATACATATTCTGAAATATACAACCAAGATGTTTTCGGCTTCGACATCTTTACTCTTTACAGCAGATGACGGCAACTTCCGTTATCCACACCTATATAACTGTAACTCAGTATGAATGACGAACTCCTTGTAATTGTAAATGCCTGAAATTCAATTTTATGCGTGAGTTAGTGCATTAAATGCCAAATCGTTGCTCCAACCGCTAAATCCTGAGATGCTATTTAATCCAAGAGGTGGTCATTTGAAATTGTCACATCTCTCATCATTAGCAAGCGAGTCATATCGATAATTGGCTTTGTATATAAACTTGCATGCAAACGTTTGGGTTGAACTTCATGAAATGATTATATACCCATATTTTATTAAGAAGTTAAGATTGTTTAATACTATGCTTTCATCAGTAGTGTCTGTGGATTTTGAGGATTGGAAAATAAGTTCTTACGTTTTCGTAGGTGCCTTGTAACCTAAGATACGAAGCTTTAAGCTGGGTGCCGACTTCAATGACCACTTATATATATATATATATATATATATATATATATATATATATATATATATATATATATATATACTGTCGTTTTTATAAAAAACAAAAATGCCGTTAAATTCACCTTCATCCTTGCCGTGCGCCAATGGCTTAGGATAGATTCTCTAAATACAAAAATCAGTCGAGTTTCGATTCCAGTTTGAAGCAATCAGATGTCTAGCCACAATGTTGAGCTGTAAACACCGAAACAGTCTTTCTGTGGATGACTATATATATATATATATATATATATATATATATATATATTATATATATATAGTACTTTTTGAAAGTGCTAAGTATCAGTGATTGAGCTAACATATTCAGTTGTATGGATATGAGTTTGTGACCCTGGTTTTTCACGATTTTGCGATCATTAGACAAACAAACTTTGTTTGTCTGTTGATCGCAAAAGCGTAAAACTCAATGTCACAAAGTCATATCCATAATATATATATATATATATATATATATATATATATATATATATATATATATATATATATATATATATATAGCCAGTGACTTTATTCTACAAAATTAAATGATCGCCTTAAATAGAACTGATGTAGACATGTTAATACGAAACAGGAGGGAAATATCTTTGGAAACTTTTGGCCAACTCTTCACCTGATAAAAAAATCACTGACGAAACAATTCCTTATTTTTCTTTAACAGGAACAACCAAATACACTTGAAGTGACTAAATGGGAGAAGTCAAATGGAGCAAGATTTAAATATAAAATCGTTTCAATGAAAGCTTGAAAATTAATTCCATCTGTAAAAAAAAAAAAGGAATAAAATGATTATACACCTTTATTTTATTCAGAAGTTAAGCCTTTTTAGTAAGTATGCTTTTATCACTTGCGTATGCAGACATTGAGGATTAGAAAATGAGTTTTCGTGGGTTCCGGGTAACAGAAGATACACAGCTTTAAGCTAAAGAAAGGCCCATTGCGCCAATGACAGATCTGAGGTGATAAAGTTGCAAATTTCTAAATAGAAATTCACCAATATTGTTAACATGAGTGTAAGGCACCTTGGCAAGTGATTGCAGTTAAACATTAGAATGTAATATCTTTGGGTCAACTACATAAAATTATTATACACGTTTATTTTATTATTTAGAAATTAAGATTATTTACCAGTATGATTTTATCAGTAGTTTTTGTGGAATTTGAAGATTGGAAAATAAGTTGTTGCGTTTTCGTAGGATACACAGCTTTAAGCAGCTTGAAACTGAAAAAAGCCATACAAATCTATTGAACAAATCTGAGAAGATAAAGCCATGATAATATGCCAATTTCTAAGTAGTAATCGTTCCATCTTATTAACATGAGAGTAAAGTACTTTGGTAAGACTTTGTGATTCAACATTTAACAACTTACCTTTTTAATATAAAATCATTGCTAAAATTTCTGCTGAAACAAAGATGAAAGTTTGGATTTTGAAGGGATTACCACTTCAAAGTGAAAACGTTCATTTTTCAGACGGTTGGGAATTTCCAGAAACAGTGTTCCAACCAGCCAAAAGACGTTTGCTACTATTGGAAGAGATTTAAATCCTAAGAAATCTAGAAAACCAGAAAACTTAGGCAAGAGAAGTGAAGACAGATTGTAAGAATTTCGGTAGGCAATACAAAATTAACAGCCGCACAAGTGAGACGTGAATGCTGTCTTAATAGTGAGGTTTCAGTTGATACATTACGAAAAAACGTAATATTGTCAGGTGTATAGCAGGAAAGAAAAATACCATTAGCCAAAAAATCATAGAGAAATAGAAGACTGAAATGACCAAAAGAACATCTAACATGGGATACTGGAAAGTGTAAAATAAAACGTAATTATTAGTGATGAATGCAAAAGTTACATTGTAATGTAAGGGAAATATATAAGAAAACAAACGAGAGAAAGTAAAAATGCAAGATACACTACAAAGATTTTGAATTCTGGTGGTGGACGGGTAATGGTGTTTACTTGCATCTTTCTTTATGGAATTCATCCCATGAAAGGCAGTAAAACCTCTAAGGCCCAAGACGTTACTGGATGAAGAAGAATTAGAAAAAAGAAACATTACTAAGAATCGAGAACAACAGAAGAGCAATCAAGAGGGCAGTAGATAACGATTGACATTGTATTTACATTTTTGAAGATCAAAGTCGGTTAGAAAGCATTTTCCAAGCTCTCTTTCCTTACGGTGGTGCAATGGATAGCGGCTCGGATTGAGGAATCGGAAAGCCGAGTTCGAATTCCAGTCAAATCTATTACGTTCACTTACATGCTAATGCCCTTGGGAAAGGTATGAATACTCTTCTTCTTCTGCCAGCTATAGTTAAATAGCATGAAAGACCGGGTTCTATAGCCTTGGATGGCAACTGGTCTACCATAGAAAGAAATGGCAACCTACTGCTTGAAAAAAATCTGCTTTGTCAGCCATGTATCGAAAGATAGATGATCGCCAAAGCGTGTATCATCTATGGACTAACTGACTTTCCTTATTATGCGTATCAGATTTTTCAAGCTCTTTTTCCTTATTATGTGCCCAAGTAATTTCAAATGTCTCTCCCTGGTGTTAAGTATAAGTTTTCCTTTTTGTATCTAGAACTTTCTCGTTGCTCACATATACAGTCCAGCATTCTTCTGTAGGACAATATTTCTGTTGCTTCCAGTCTCTTGTTGAGGATATTGATCACCATTCACTGCCATGTAGTCTTTTGAACTGGAGAATAGGTTTATCACTTGTTTCCCGTTTAGGATTTGGTTTCCGGTTTTTTCTAAAGTTTGCTTCTGCTCTGTACACCTAACATTTGTCCTTTCCTATGCTAATATAACTCCATAAGGTAACGCTTTAATTTGAGTGTCTTTTGGTCCTTGTATTGGGTGAACATTAGTAAAAACAAAAACATAAATCATATATATATATATATATATGTAGAGAGAGAGAGACAGAGTTTGATGGGTAAATTTTCGCCATTTTATATTTTTAATTTCGCGCATGCGCGTTGTTTGTTTTTGATTTTGTCGACTGTACGGTATAGTAGGTTCGGTTGGGTGCCGTCCGTGAGGAAAAAAGCACCACGACGCACCATGTACGGAAGCTTCTGATCGTTCTGATAAGAAATGAACTCTTGAATTTGTTGGTGACAGCCTCAGACTCAACACGGAGGCCTGAATCAAGTGCATTGAGGAGGCAGTGCTGCCCTTGGTCAAGAGGGTGCCTGCTAGAAGACCCTATATCTGGCAGCAGGACTATGCAACATGCCACACAAGCAGGAGAACCCAGTCATAGCTGTCAGACAATTTCTGAGACCACATCACCTGTTACATCTGGCCACCTAACTCCCTTTTATTATTATACGTGGGGCGCAGTTGAGCGAGAGGCCAACAAAACTCTTTGTAACACCAATGATGAACAGGAGGCAAGCATTATGGTGACATTCACCAACTTCAAACAAGGAGACCGTCCAGAAGTCATCCAGGAGATTCCGAAGTCGTCTGTAGGCCGTGGATGAAGCCAATGACGATTTTATTGAAGAAATTTTAGTAAATATATCTGTTAAAATGAAATGTCAATGGTTATTTTCCTTTTTGAGCAATTTAGACGACAATTTATCCATCGTACGTTATATATATATATATATATATATATAGAGAGAGAGAGAGAGAGAGAGAGAGGGGCAACCAAACAAGCATAAATTGCTCCAACTTTAAAAATTAAATCAGTTTTCTGATGATCGCAAAGGCGTGAAACCAAGGGTGACAAACTCATATCCATACAATTTATTATATATATATCTATCTATCTATCTCTCTGTATATATATATATATATATATATATATATATATATATATATATATAGAGAGAGAGAGAGAGAGAGAGAGAGAGAGAGAAAGAAAGAAAAGAAAGAAAGAAAGAAAGAGAGATAACCAAACATAGTCAAATATGCATAAATTGCTCCAATTTTAAAAAATAATCTAGTTTTCTAATGATCGCTCGCAAAGACGGGAAACCCAGATACAACTTATTACACACACACACACACACACACATATATATATATATATATATATATATATATATATATATATATATATATATATGGCACTATAAAAACACACAAATAAATAATAATATTAATAATAATAATCTTCGTCTTATTATACCTCAAATACACACTCCTATGTATCAATTAACAAAAATCATAAACCACCTTATCACACCTTACATTCCCAGTAAATATAGCATAATATCAACTCTTAAAGTCATTCAAATTCTAAAAAAAAACAGGAAAAACATAGCTTCACTTGGCGTTGAAAATTTATTAACTAATATCCCAGTTAGCGAAACTATTGATATTATTATAAGAAACGTGTACAATTATCCGTCTCTACCTACACTTAATATTATACCTAGCGTATTGTGGAAACTACAGTTAACTTGCACTGCTGAAGTCCTATTTTACGATCACAAAATTAATATATATGTATAACGGGATGGTTTTTCCATGGGTTCATTTCTGAGCCCAACTTTTAGGTATTTCTATATGTGTAGTCTTGAAAATAATATATTTAATAAATTTCAAAAAACCCTCCATCTACCTGGCGATGATATCTTTATATTAGTTAAGAATATGAATGAAATATATATCAACTCCAGTAACAATTCAAAATAATTTTGTCCTTAAATTTACATACGAACTTAATCATAGTAATTACATTCCTTTGCTAGATATATTGATAAACACTAATAATATTAAATTCACTATCTTCCCGTATAAAAAACTATTATCATAAATTCGTGCAATCACTCCCTATAAGAGTGAATGATCAAACTGCTATAAAATAGTAGTTATATAATACCTAATAAATCGTACAAGAATTAATTCATCCACAAAACTGACTTTATACAGTGAACTAAAAAAAATATAAAACAATCACATTAAGATTTTTTATTAGAAATCTTAAAATAAAGCAAATAGAATATGATACTTCTTCAACTAACCCTAAACATATTAATGCTTTATATTGCAATCAAATACATTCTAATTATAAACAAGATGAAAATATCCTTTAAAAAAATCTAATAAACATTAATATATCCACAAATCCTTGTAAAAAATAAAATTAATTATATTCAGTCTATACTCAATATATACTCAATCATTCGTAATGACTCCTCCCCCAAAAACTAACGTGTTACAGAAAACAAACATCGTATATAAATTTAAATAACACTTGTGAGATTTTATCTCCAACAGAAAATATAATACATATGTTGTCCATGCAACTTCTACGTTGTCTCGAATGTTGAGTTTTCATTTGCATGATGCATCTAACGTCACTCAAGACTTCAGCATGCCTGACTACATTCGCAATTCAGGAAAATTCTTGTCGAAAATGCATCTATACCTTTTTATGAAAATAATAAACATTAACTAAAAATTCTTAAAGCTATCTATATTAAAAAATTGAAACCATCCCTTAATAAAAATTAATTATGAATACGGCACAAATGCTTTAAAATGTTTACAGTAAATAGTTTAAAATATCTAGGTTTTAACTAATATTTTTAGTTTTTTCTTTTTAAAAATATTTAGATATTACAATAATTTAGTTACCTCCCTTGACGTTTTCACGTGTGCCTACATGATAAAATTAAAAATTGTTCAGTACATAATTAATCTTAGCGTTTATTCGCACGTAAAAAAAATAATTTTCAAATGAACACAATAAAAAATCTTAGAAAAATGATGGCCAAAACAATTTTTTTGTCTAAAAAAAAAAAAAAAAAATAGACACTGATGAGGGCACAGCGCTAATGTCGAAAGTACTCGGAATAAAATGAATATGCATCAACATGATAATTTTTTCCCCTTTTAATGAGGGTACTAAGAAACTTGTCCGTAATTATGAGAAGATCCTATTAAAAAAATAAGTAGACAAAACTTGTCTAAAATATTTAATGAGACATGTCTTATATATATATATATATATATATATATATATATATATATATATATATATATATATATATATATCGTTCTGAATGTGTGTGCCTACGTTTTTATGTAGCGCAAAATTCTACAGAAAGATAAATAACATGGCATATTAAGAAAGATATTCGCCGTCAACATAAGTAATAACAGACATTTTGAATGCAGCGAATGTAGGGTGTAGGGAACTTGAACAAAAAGCCAACTTAGACATGGGGAGGGTAAGGGGGATTATATTTCGAGGATGAACATTCTTTTCTGGTGGAATAGATGGATAGCAAACGGTTGAATGTCTTGCTGCTACCGCTGTGTCGGAAAGTTGTTATTGGTTAAGTCGAGGACGTCCATTTGCTTCGTTGTCAAACGCCAAGTTTGTAGCGGGTTCTAAATATTATCATTGCTTGTTCATGACACGCACCTTTCGGGAAGGTCTTACATCTGAGATGCCATGTTTGTGGGCTGTAATGGAGGGGCGGGAGTTCTCATTCTTGTAAAAAAAAAAATGACTGTGTGTTGAAAGAATTAAAACAAGGTATAAAATAAAGATATAGAGAAGCCTGAGTTCCAGGAATTTTTTGAGAATCCGTTAAGCAGTAAAAAAAAAGTCATAAAAATACCTAAATAAGTAATTATTCACCAGAAGTAAATAAACAAGGAGGTAACGAAAGTAAGCTGTAAAGTATATAAAGAATAAGAGAGAAAAACAAAAGAAGAGAGGTAGTGAAATGAAAAGAAACTTTGATAAGAAAGGTACCGAGAAGAAAGAATATTGAGAAAGAAAGAAAAATGGGAAGAAACTATGAAAAGAAAGGTTCCGAAAAAGAAAGAAAAATAAAGAAAAAAATAAAGGAAAAAGAAGGAATATTGAAATGAAAAACACTGAGACATAAAGAAAACTTTGAAAAAAAGGAAAAAAAGAGGAAAAAGAGGGGAAAATAATACTAGGGATAAAGGAAACACAATTAGAAGAAGGAAAGTGTATTTAGAAGAAAATCTGAAAAATACACAAATAAATATCAAATGAGACATCAACAATAAAAAAGAGAAATAAATATCATTACAGCATTAAATAAGAATCAATGAAAGAAAAATGAGTCTAAAAAATGTTTACCAAACGGAAGAATTTTGTGACAAACGATGGCCGTTAATAATTAAGTACAACTCAAGACTTCAATGTTAAGGTAAACAGTAATTATAACCTCAAATAAATACTTAACAAGAACAAAGAATAAAATTCAACCAAAAATAATTAACCATTTTAGTGAATACATTCTTAGCAGCGCGGCTTGGCTTAACGTCCGGTAAATTCGAAATCAAAACCCGAATCATCGACGCACAATAATTCGACTGGATAGTTCCACTCAATAATCACTCAATAATCACCGCAGTCAGTAGTCTGACACCATTATTTATACACCTGGCGGAAAACATATATTCATAAATCCAGAGTGTCACGTTCGAACATCGGTGTTGGTAGTTAATCATTTTCTCCTTTTATGACAAAGAAAGAAGGGAAGAATCAAAGGCCGAAAAATGCTTACAACGAAGAAGAAAGATAGAAAAATCAACGACAGAAATGCTTTCAAAAAGAAAGAAAGAAAAATCACCGACAGAAATGCTTTCAAACAGAAAGAAAGAAAAATCAACGACAGAAATGCTTTCAAAAAGAAAGAAAGAAAAATCACCGACAGAAATGCTTTCAAACAGAAAGAAAGAAAAATCAACGACAGAAATGCTTTCAAAAAGAAAGAAAGAAAAATCACCGACAGAAATGCTTTCAAACAGAAAGAAAGAAAAATCAACGACAGAAATGCTTTCAAAAAGAAAGAAAGAAAATCACTGACAGAAATGCTTTCAAACAGAAAGAAAGAAAAATCAACGACAGAAATGCTTTCAAAAAGAAAGAAAGAAAAATCACTGACAGAAATGCTTTCAAAAAGAAAGAAAGAAAAATCAACGACAGAAATGCTTTCAAAAAGAAAGAAAGAAAAATCACTGACAGAAATGCTTTTCAAACAGAAAGAAAGAAAAATCACTGACAGAAATGCTTTCAAAAAAGAAAGAAAGAAAATCAACGACAGAAATGCTTTCAAAAAGAAAGAAAGAAAATCACTGACAGAAATGCTTTCAAACAGAAAGAAAGAAAAATCAACGACAGAAATGCTTTCAAAAAGAAAGAAAGAAAAATCACTGACAGAAATGCTTTCAAAAAGAAAGAAAGAAAAATCACTGACAGAAATGCTTTCAAAAAAGAAAGAAAGAAAAATCAACGACAGAAATGCTTTCAAACAGAAAGAAAGAAAAATCAACGACAGAAATGCTTTCAAAAAAGAAAGAAAGAAAA